CATAATGTTAAAAAGCCTGTAACTCGGTGATCCACGATCGTAGAAACTTGGCCAGCATCTCATTTTATGAAGAATTGAAGGAGCTATCCAATGATATGGTTGAAAAGCTTCTGAGAGAAACTTTAAGCCACTTGTCCTTTGACACTGTCAAAACACGCTGTCGAACTACAGAATTACCAGAAAAATACTTGTCCAGCACATTAATAAAACACGTGTGCCGTACCGTAATCTAAAGAATGTCGGCTTCTGATCCAACAGAAGGCGCATGCCGAATCCGACCAGAACAGATATTCGTCGGAAAAAGAAATTATAGACCACATTCACAAACAAGGACAAGGACAGTGAATTGATCTGGAAACATTCTGAACTATAGTGCTCTACGGAGCTTTTTCTATGGCATACTTGAATTCAGTTGTATTACATTTAATTTTTTCAGCTGTTTATTTAGGTGTAATACGATTTTAAGAAATAGCGCTGGAATTAAACTGAAAAACAAAAATCGGATCTGGTTGGGCCATAACTTTCGGCATGTGCCTTCTGTCAGGTCAGAAGTCTACATTCTTTAGGTTTTGGTACCACACACGTGTTTTATTGATGTGCTGAACAAGTACTTTTCTCCGTACATATACCGTTCGCTTTACCGCGCAAGATGAAAGTAATCCTTGTAGGTTGTTTTAACACTGATTTGACCAAATCAAAAATATTTTTTTGTAGTCTACTCGACTCAGCAAGGTTTTTAGTTGAAAAAAAATTCTGCCGTAGAAAAATGGCTTTCCAAAAACCTGATCTCGTTTTTTTTGATTGTATTCAGAATCAGCATCGTTGATAACCTATAACCCACTAGGTTTTATTGAAAAAGCAATTTATCACTTGAATAGTGTTCTTCATTAGCTATAAATTAAGTTTATCCTAACGGTCTGTCCAGCTAACTCTACTACATATGGAATTCCGTAACGTTTTTTGGTGATTTTGTTCAATTTGCAAAAATTTTTCAAAAAGTTAGAACTCAAAAGTGAATGAGCCATTTTGTAGACAATTCAATTCTCTATCAATTGACCTACTTTTAAAAAGTTTTAGCGAAAACCTCTTGGTTAGGAAATTGAAAATAATGAGAGCTGCTTTACTAAATTTATACAAAAGAAATGCAAAAAGTATCTCTCCTTGTTTTCGCTTTCCTAACCAAGAGATTTTCGCTAAAACTTTTCAAAAGCAGGTCAGTCGATAGAGAATTGAATTGGCTACAAAATGGCTTCTTCACTTTTGAGTTCTAACTTTATGCGTATGCGCAGTCGTGTCGAAAAATGACTTCTCTGTCAATTTCCTAAGTGAAACAAGTATTTGCTTCCAATGTCTTTGTTCTGGTTCCTGTCACATCATCCTCTAATTTTCTCTACTAGATTGCACTTCGAACTGTAAAATTCATTTACACAATGTCGTGTCATTCTCCAATATATTAGGCTGTGCTTAAAACAGTAGAGTTTTTTTGTTTTTCTTTCGCATATATACCCTATCCACTATTTACGTTAGTGTGGTGAAAGATCATTTGACCAGATGTTGGAACAACCTTATCATTAACAGCTGTTATTGGCCTATTACTGCAGATCTTTGCCAATTTTTACTCAATCGTTTTTCAACAGCATAAAAAGTATCATCAATATATTTTATTTGTCTTTTTGGTATTGCGTGATCATCTAATGACGGGTATGTCTCTACAAGTTATTTCATGTCGTCATGGTTAAAAGAATTCGCATAAAAATGGTATGGTCGCCTTTAGCAGAATTTTGACAGGGGCACTTCAGGACGCAAATGGTATGTTTTCAGTAAAAATTGTACAAAGATCTTGAATATGCAGAAGAGATTTTCGTGTCGGTCGTAGTGAACTGCATCATTATTTCGTTCGCTATTATTCGTGTATTTTTAGTGAAAAAAATTAATTAACTAAGACATTCTTCTGAATCCACTTGCTTTAAACCTTAGGGTTCCTAGCTTTTGTATCGATCTCAGGTCTCGGCAAACTGAGGCATAAATGACCTCAACCTCAACTTTTCTTTTCATAAGCATTGATGTTCATTATTCACCACTGATCACATGTTCTTATCTCGTCAAGGTCTCCAGCGTCTAATGTCATTTCTGGTGAATTGCTGCTCGCGACAAAAAATGTCGAACAAGATAGGCGAAATTGTTGAAATGAATGAGAATTATGCGGATCAACTGATCTTAATCGATTCAATAACATCATATATTCATTTAGGAATCGATGAATTGAATGTTCGAAATTGTTCTTCACCTTTGATTATTGCCGATTTCGGTTCATCTTATGAATTTTATTCAATACATATTATGAAGACAATCATTGAATATCTTCGACAGACAAATAAACTTGTAAGACCACCTCTTATCGTTCATAATGATCTTCCAATAAATGACTGGACACGACTTTTTGAGCTTCTGGCACGTGATAATTCATATGAAGGTGTTGCCAATGGTCGTTCTTTTTATGAACAGTGTCTACCACCGAATTGTCTTTCGATAGGGTTTTCGTCTGCATCACTTCACTTATTATCGCAAAAACCTTGCAATTTCTCCAATCATTGTTATTATACTTTTGCTGAAGAAAGTGAACGTCAAAGATTCAAAGATCAATCCAAACTTGACTTTATTTCTTTTCTCGAACATCGTTCTCGTGAACTTGTGTCTGGTGGTGTGCTCATTCTTATTATACCGAGTGCCGAGAAACAAGAAACAATGAGTTTTAACTATTATTTTGATTTACTTTACAAATGTGCTCAATCAATTACATTTCTTACGCCACAAGATTTATTAAATTATACGATTCCTCTTCATTTACGTTCACTATCTGAATGTGTCGATTTTGAACTATTTGAGAGATGTTCATTCAAATTGATTAAAGCCGAATTCAGTTACATGAAATATCCTATTTTTGTTAGGTATCAAAATGGACATATAACACTCGATCAATTTGCAAAAACACTCACAGTAATAATGCGAACTACGACTGAATTATCATTTAAACAAGCATTGGAAATTACTGGACGATCGAAAGAGGATATTGACAAGATATTAACGCAATTTTGGACTCTGTATGAAGAAACAGTACGGAATGAACCATTTCATGACGATGTCAATACATATATTGTCTGTTTGATCTTGAAAAAAGTAGACAAAGTTTTAAAGTGAAACATAATACATACAGTGCTGACCATCAAACTGCAAAAAACAAACTACGTTTGTTTATTACGAAAGCTAATATCTTAAATCACTGATTCTGCAGAAATAGTCATTGTCGATATTTCATCTAATTGTCAGGTAACCAGAAAAATCGCATGCCAAGTCAAAACTGTCAACAAAACAATGAACATAAAAATCATCTCAAAAGGCAAATTCATATTTAATGTTGGATGCCAAACAAACTCAATCAAGTGTTTTACTTAGATTCAGTAGGATCATGCACTTGTACGTAGTAAAGAGACAGAATATAATTCTTGCTTTGTGTTAAATTTAAATTTAAAAGAAATAGTTTTGAAATTTGAATCTTTGAATATCTTAGACATTTTGAAAATATAGTCCTTGCGAACAAAACGATTTTCAAACAGATTCTTCATATGACTGATGGCTTTGATCATCTTAAAACACATTCTCTAGATAACTGAATCTTCTGAGACACTAGAAGTCTTGCTATTATTAATTTTCTCAATTTTCAGAAACCCTGTTAATTCTTATTTTAACGTCTATCAACACTTTTTTGATTCGAACTAGTATCTCAAAAGATAAACGTAAAAAATAAAGATAAGAGTAGAATATAAGATGAAGAAAATAACAATAAAAGGAAAACATTCTTTTAACTGTAGTGGCTAAGATTGAAGGAACAAAACTTTTAATGTTCATTCGAGAGAGTATTTATAATAGGACTAGAAAACAATACAATAAATACGTTATTAAAACAAATTCATTTTATCACAGATATAGTCGACTACTATGCGTTTCAAAAAAGAATGCCCCTGACTATTTTTCGAATAACTTTTGATAAAAAGTAGATAAAGAGATGCGGTTTTCACTGTTCAAGAGCGAATATCTTAAGACATCATGAGAAATAAAAGTCGAACCAGGTCTACCACCTGCAGGTGGTAAGCCATTCACATCTTTGAAAGACAGGGTTGGAAAAGAACGAAAAAAAAGATTCTTTTCTCGTTCTTTTATAGATTCGAACTAGCAAACCTTCCTCTACACAACCCCAGAGAGCTCATTTTTTCTGTTCTCCCGTTCCCAATAGGGAGCAATTCTCCGAGACGACCCTAATTCACGCTTTTTTTCACTTATAATATCGAATGAACACTTCCCAAATAGGTTTTCGACTATGCTGATTCACGTGACAATGTTTGTTTTCAGAACACCATGCAAGAATCGAGTGACAACCTATGATAGGCGAAATAACCCATTTCTGATTATTTTTCGTCAAAAATTAAAAAATTCATAATTCAGTCAAAATCCACCCAACCTACTTCAGAATGTCAACAAATACTCCACTTTAGCCGCTCATTCTAATTCTGTACGTAAAATCAATAAAAATATTCTTTTAGTTTCGAAGGTTTCTAGGAAGCCTCGCTAGAAACCAAAGTATTTTCTGTTGAGTTTTTCAACATTTATTGAGCAACGGGTATGCTGCAGATAAAATAGAGTATTTGCTGACATTCTGAAGTAGGTTGGGTGGATTTTGACTGAATTAT